ATAATAATCGTATTTTTTATAATAAAGAATTTTTATAAGAATATAAAAGCAAGACCAACGAGAAACTTTAAAAATCAAAGAAGTAAAAAATATTGGTCGTATTTTGTTAATAATAGCATAAAAGTTTTTTTTCCATTGTTAAAATATAAAATGGAACAAATACAAAGTTATATTTAATACATGAAAATTGTTAATCATTGATATCATATTATATTTTAAAGTTATGATGTGTCATATTTATCCACATTAAATCTATATTTATCTAATATAATTTTTTTGTTCGTTAAGTTTTATATAATTTATATTATATTTCTATATATATATATAAGCCACCATATATATGTCCTTTAAAGTTGTTTTTATAATTTTGTCTTTTTTAATAAAAGACAGTTTTTATATTCGCAGATGATCGTACATTAATTATTTCATCAAAATATATTATTATTTAATAATATATTATAGTTTTTACATTATTATTATAAATTATAATGTAGTTGTTATAAATGTATAAATTATATCTATATAATTAGTGATAATATTAAATACATTTATATAAACAATAATTTATATAAAAATATATACACAATATATAATATAATTTACATAATACATTAACGCTTTAAGTGTATAATTTACATAGAAGACATTTAAGTCTCCTAGACAATAATATGATTTATATTGTCTTTTTTTTTATATTCCTTTCTTTTCATCTTTATCTTCATCTGTTGAAGAAGAAGAATCATAACGTCCTTTTATTTCTAGACATTTTCTTTTCATTGGTGAAATATCTGATTTTATTGAGCTACCTGGTTTTGGCAAATCACCTATATCGATATCTGTGCTTTCACTTGAGGTTTCATATGACCTTTTTCTTAGCTTACTTGCTTCTTGTGGAATATCTAATTGATGTTTTGTCTTACCACGAGAAACAACTGGTTTTGATTGTTCTTTTGGAACAGAGGAATAAGGTTTTTCGAATCCAATCTTTTCATTGTTATCTTCATCTGTTGTTGAAGAAGAATCATAACGTTTTCTTAATTCTAGACATTTTCTTTTCATTGGTGAACCATAAGCTTTTGGTGAAATATCTGATTTTAGTGAGCTACCTGGTTTTTGCAAATCACCTATATCGATATCCGTGCTTTCACTTGTGGTTTCATATGACCTTTTTCTTAGCTTACTTGCTTCTTGTGGAATATCTAATTGAGGTTTTGTCTTACTACAAGAAACAACTGGTTTGGATTGTTCTTTCGGAACAGAGGAAGAAGGTTTATCGAAATCAATCTTTTCACCTTTATCTTTATCTGTTATTGAAGTATAATCAAAACGTCTTCTTTTTTCTAAACATTTTTTTTTCCTTCTTGAAACATCTTCTTCTGATGAAATATCTGCTTCTGGTGAGCTCCCTTCTTTTTGTAAATCATCGATATCCGTGTTTTCACTTGTGCTTTCGTATGACCTTTTCCTTAACCGACTTTCGTCTTGTGAAACATTTAATTCATGTTTTGCCTTATCATAAGAAACAACTGGTTCGGATTGTTCTGCTTGAAAAGATGAAGTAGGTTCTGAAGATCCAGTTTCTATTGAATGCAGATAATTCAACTTATTTGACGTTTCTTCCCCCCAGCTTTCTTCTGGTTGTGAACTATCTTCTTGTAGCAAACTACCTCCTTGTGACAAACTATCTTCTTGTCGTGAACTAACTTCTTGTAGCGAATTATCTTCTTGTAGCAAGCTACCTCCTTGTGGCAAACTATCTTCTTGTAGCAAACTACCTCCTTGAAGCATACTATCTTCTTGTAGCGAAATATCTTCTTGTTGCGAATTATCTTCTTGTAGCGAACTACCTCCTTGTAGCAAACTATCTTCTTGTAGCGAACTATATTCTTGTAGCGAATTATCTTCTTGTAGCGAACTACTTTCTTGTTGTAAAATATCTGCTTGTAGTGACTCATCATTTCTTTTGTCCATCTCATCTGAATCTGATGTTGAAGCAGCATGAAAACTAAATGGTTGTAATTGTTGTACTGGAACCTCTTCAGCCAAAGAAGGTTCTTCCAATTCAATTTCTAATTGAGTAGTCACTTCTGATAAAGTATGTGACGTTTTAGCCTCTATTTTTTCTTCTGTATCCATTTCTTCATGTGTGTTTGTAATTATCATTTCTGGCTGTTGTGAAACATCTGAATCAGATGTTGAAGCAGCATGAAAACTAAATGGTTGTAATTGTTGTAGTGGAACCTCTTCAGCC